GTTAACCAAGAACAGCCACATGACCAGTTTCACAACTTACAACAAAAACGTGTTGAACTATACCACATGTGTTCCAGACAGGCCGTCCTGTCCCTAGCCATCTTGCTCAGGTCAGTGCAACGAGTGACAGCAGTTAGAAGACAAGTTGCTAAAATAGAGGGTTTTTTGTGTATTTGGTCATGTCAGCAAAAATCCTATGAGAGATTATTGTTGTGTTTTGCTTTTTAAAATCAGCCACATAGATTTCTGTTGACCAAAAGATAGAAGGTACTTAGTATATCACAGTTAAATGATTACATGAAAGAGCATTATCTCCAGTTAAGAATGGAAAACATTTGATTAAATTCTTTCAGGGATTGTAATCTCCACTATTTTGTATATGAAGAGCTGAATTCAGACTGATTAATATGCTCAGTATCAAATGGTATTTCTGTTGTACAATTAAGTGTTGTATCAAGTTGTGTGGCACTCCAACAATTGTGATCTGATGTAGTGTACCACATTACACTGTTTAAACAAAGCTATGACAAAGTATACAAATGTGCATCTGGTCATTCATTCAGTAGAGTAGAACGCTGTGTCAGGTAACAATAAAGCCCCAATGTGGACACTCAAGTGTCAGTCGAGTCCTCTACGTGCGCGACGGCAAGAATGCTGGTCTTCTCCCATCAGCTTTACTCCATACCAAGAAGTGCAGGGCAATAGGCAAAGCTCATTGCTAATCAACAAGACCACCAGACCTGAGTCTGTGCATACAGTGTGTATACACATAGCATTTCCTAGTTCTCAAACCGAGCTGCTTCCCATTACCTGCCTCTCACACACACACATATAGCTTCTACACAGACTCAAAAAATTCTAGTAATAAAAAAGCAAAACCATCTTTCATTGCCTTCTTAGGTGAGCTTTAGCTCTCACATCACATGAGCTGCCTAAAAGCTATTTCCACACAGGAGATCACACGGTGAGGAAAGAAAATCCAGGTACCCTTGCTATTCTGGACAGTGAAGACGGCAAACAGGAAGGATCCTGGTGCCAAGTCAGCCAAATTGGGGCAATGCAGACCAATGTCAGCCCAGCCCAAAAGGAATTTTCAGATCCGCAGGGCACTTAGAGGCCAGTTTCTTCTCTTGTACGGGAAGGGTTATTGTGAGAAAAAAACAGTCTCCATGAACAATAATGAAGCCATACAGCAGCTCTATTGCCCTTCATAAATGAGGTAAGTGATTTCTCAATGTCATGTCATTAATCCAGGAAAAAGAAGGCCTTGTGCCAGAGCTATGTAGTTAAGATAGCCTAAATACAAAAGCCGTCTGAGGCTTCAAGAAAAGGGAAGATGTTTGTATTACAGAAAACAATGAAAATTGTTTGTATTTACCCTGGGAAATCAACCTACTAGTCAAATTGTTCTTCCTGGAAAGAACCTTTAAATATAAGGGTATTTAATGAGAATAAATTCAGTTCGTATGAAGTCTTAGAGCAGAAATCCAAAACTGAACGACTTCTGCTCAAAATGAGAAAGAAAAAAGCAGAGTCATTAATGTAGTTGGTTATGAAAAGTCCCTTCATTCCTTTACTATTTGTTTTAAAAATCTGGAAAATGCTCAAAGATTTGCAGAATCAGTAGAGAAGCTGCCTATGGTCCTGAGCAGCCAGCAATGCAATTAAAATCATGGCCCCAACAACCACATGAAGCCTCATCTGAACCACTAAGGAACCCCTTAAGAGATGTGAATAGTGTAATTACTTCTGCAATTTAGATGGAAAGAAAGAAAAATCTTCCTCTGGGCTTGAGACTATTGTTCAAAAGAATCTGTTGTTTATTGTCCTTTTTAAAAATTTTCTAGAACAGATAAAGTTCAATAAAAGTAGAAACAATTTTTAAATTGTAACAACATAATTTTAGCCACAATTTTCTTTTTGGTAGAGTTTTGGAACAGAAGTATCAGCGTGAGGAAAACTAGTATGGAAAGGATTTCAGAAGCTGTCTCATCTATCCCTTACTTTATTTTAGCAAAATTGCTTTAAAGAATTTCACATGTTAAAAATACATTCTATTTTTGAGTACATCCAGATAAGGAGTTTTTCCTACCTTCCCTGGTATCCCACTTCAATGACTGCCCCTCTGAGGAAACTTTTCCTTAGCTACTTCTTAAATTCAGTCATGTAGTTTTAAGTTATTTTCTTTTTGTTCTATTATTAATAAAGATGAAAGGTGACAATTCATCTTATGATAACTTTCAAACTTTTAAAAATCATTTATAAGATATTGTCACGTATTATCTACTTAACTCTTAAAACAACCCTGATTTTGGTATTTTTTTCCGTGTGTGTGTGAACTTTTAAAAATCATTTATAAGATATTGTCACGTATTATCTACTTAACTCTTAAAACAACCCTGATTTTGGGTTTTTTTCTGCGAGCTGAGGGACAGTGCCCAGGCCCAGAGTTCAGGCCCACAACCGGACCCCCCACCCCCCCCAAAAAAAACCAACCCTGATATTGGTTTGGTTTTTTTTTCTCGTGTGTGTGTGTGTATGTGTGTGTGTGTGTGTGTGTGCGCGTGTGTGTGTGTGTGTGTGTGTGTTCTACTTAACTCTTAAAACAACCCTGATTTCGGTTTGGTTTTTTGTGTGTGTGCATGTGTGTGTTTGTCCTGGGCTTGAACTCAGGGCTCTAGGCAAGCTTTATCTCTCAATGCTAGCACTCTACCACTTGAGCCACAGCTCCACTTCCAGATTTTTGGTGGTTAATTGGAGATAAGAGTTTCATGGACTTTCCTGCCCCGGTTCCCTTCATATTGCAATCCTTAGATCTCCACCTCCTGACACCCAGTAACAACCCTATTTTTATTTACCCCATTCTACAGATGATGAAATTTAGGCTAAGAGTGTAAAAAAAAATAAAAAATAAGGTTTAGGTAAGAAATGTGACAACATAAAGGTTACTCAGAAATTCAGTGCTTGGGTTCTAACTCAGTTATATACTTCATACATGACTGTATGGGAAGGTGGCTCAGTGGTAGAGCGCTAGAGCGCTTGCCTTGCATGCATGAGGCCCTGGGTTCAATTCCCCAGCACCATATAAGCAAAAAAGAAAAAAAGCCGGAAGTGGTGCTGTGTCTCAAGTGGTAGAGAGCTAGCCTTGAGCTGAAGAGCTGAGGGACAGCGTCCAGGCCCAGAGTTCAGGCCCCATGACCGGACCCCAAAAATAAATAAATAAATAAATCACGTCCTTTAATTTTCTTCGCCCTAGAATAAAACAAGGTATTGTAGGACTAATGTTATGTAAATGTGGAGTACTTACTTCTATAGAGTATTCACATGTCACTTTATGTTATAAATGGTGTGTTTTTGCCTTAGAGATTCGTGTTTTATTCCAGCATCATTACCCTCTTTCTATTAACTGTACCCAGATTTTCCCCAGGGACTGTCAATCACATTGTTTCGTCTGCCCCAGTCTAAAGAGCTAGCTGGCCTAGACTCCAGGCTAGGCGGGATACACTTTTTCCCAGGAACTTGACTGTTAAGTGAATGACAGAAGACTGATACTGAAATTGGTCAGAGTTCATATTCTCACAGACCTGGTTTCAAAGAGACAGTCCTTCAACTTCTCCTCGGTTCTCTGTGTGAACTCATATTCTCATAAATTCTCTCCCTACTTAAAAGTTAGCTTTCATTGGCTTAGGTTGTTCACAAGCAAAGAATTCTGGCTGATAGACTTCTGAGGACAGAATCCTGAGGCCCACAGCCTGAGGGAAGAAGGGAGTCTCAGGATCAAGGTTTAAAACCAGCCCAGGCAGAAAGTCCATGAGGCTCTTAACAACAATCAATCACCGAGAAAGTGAGACGTGAAGCTGTGCACTAGCCTTAAACACAGAAGCCCAGGCCCTGAGTTCAAACCCCAGGATTGGCAGGTGTGTACACACACATACACACACATAGCACAAACGTGCTAGAAAAGATTTCAGGTATAAATGCAGTATTTTGACAACAAATGGGCCAAGCTCAGCACTCACACTGCAAAGCCCTAAGGCAGCAAAGATTGAGCTAGCTGAGGAAAGTGTATTGGTTGTATGCAGATCAAGGGAAAGGGAAGAAGGCTCTAAAGACATTCTTACAAACTGCAAATAAATTTCCCTTCCCTCAGGCTGTGGGCCTCAGAAATGGCAGTCAAGCCAGCTTTTTGGAGAGCACCAGCAGCACAAATTCTAACAGAAAACCACCCTCTCTCAGATGCCCGAGCCTTGTTTGGTACCTTATCTCTGCAATACTATGGGAGCAAGCAATTACAATTCTGATTCCACTTGGTGAGGAATAGAAGTAGCTTTCTATTTCAATTATGAAATAGAAAATAGTAGTTTTTCACTTCAACTCATAGTTGAATAAAATCAACTGAGTTTACTTATTTTCTGAAAGTCTAGAATTTAGATGATTTTTCCCTAATAATTTCCCAAGTGACTTTATAAGCTTCTATTACACTTTAACACAACTGCAACAAAACAAGTTGGAAGGGTTATTGGAAGTGACAGATGGGATGATTTTGACATAAAATGAAGCCTGTGGCTCTACTGAAGGAAGTCACGAAATTCAAAATTAAACCAGACAGAACAGACTGAGGGGTGGTATGTTCCTCTTTCAATGAAGTACAAGACTGCAAGCGCTCTGAATTTGTGCACTACGGCCAATTTGTTTGGTTCTTAGAAACTATGCTCTTAATACAATATGCAATATCCTCTAAATTTTAAATCTCTGTATTTTCATTATTTAACATCCACTTATGTCTTCCAATGACATCACTAAAACACAATTCCAAATTTTTATAGGTATAACTTGGGTTTCTTATAAACCTATGCTTGTCCATTGAAAAATCTATTCGTGAGGAAATGAAATAAATTTCCAATACCCACGGTGCATTCCAGACACGTTGAGAGAGTACTCATATGGCCATGTAACTGCAGGCTGCTCTGCCAGCTGTGGGCACGGGGCGTCCCGCCTACCTTATTGTGCTCGTACTTGTACGGGATCTTCAGGGTGTCCATGGCTCTGATCATGGCCTGCATGGCTGTGAAGATGTTCTGATACACCAGCTTGGTGAAGCCCCTTTTGTCTTCATCCGAGTATCCTGACCCATGGATGATCCTCATCTGCTTGATAAAGGTACTCTTGCCACTCTCTCCTGTCCCTGAAATACAGACAACAGCGGCACATCAGACCACAGCACTTTCCTAGTCTCCCAGATACCCACCCTGGACAGCAGCTTAGACCTCATGTTCCCAAAAGGCCCGACGAGAGCAGAATCACTGCAAGTGGAAATGTCTGTCACTTGGCAAAACGAGATGACCAAGAGTCTGTTTCAAAGGCAGGTGAGCTTAAAAAAAACACCAACAACAAGACAAAACCTTGTAACTAACTTGGAAGCCATTCACCATGCAACTCTGACAGTGATTTGGAGCCTTGTATTGTGTAAGAAACATTAGCAACAGCATCTTTTGAAAATAATACAAACTTGATGCAGCCCTTTCTCAAGGCAATGTTTAAAATATTTCCAGGACTCTGGATTGCTTGGTTTGGATTTGGAAATGACAACACACTTAACACAGATGCTACTCAGAGAGATACAAGGGAGGGGGGGAGAGGGACAAAAGAATTTCTAGGTATTTTCTCTAGTTTTGAAATAAGATAAGAAAAGCACAGTATTCGGATAAAACAAGAACAAAAGCCATCTTTCTAGACAGCAGGCATTCATTGTAGTTATTTCTATGGGGCCCTAGTTAAATTATTCCAAAGAATAACCAGATTAGGAGAGCTCGAGACGCTTTCCTCTGACCATGAGTAATAACACAACACAAAAATGTATTGTTGTTAACATTTTTTTCTTCGATTCTGTCTCCTTTTTCCCATTGTCAGTATTCCTTCTGTTACCATGGCCTGAAGATAGTTCCTAACAAGAGCTATAGTTGCCAATTAGAAGATGAAGAAACAAGATCATTTCACTGAATGTCATTAAACACATTTCTTCTACAATCTAAAACTACATATCTAAACTCATTTTTCTAAATGGAACTGGCCTTTTCGCTGTTCTTTCTCATTCCCTTTCAAATTTCCTTATGATTTCTAAAACAAATGCTTTTGCCTTTCCCCAACAATATGAAGAAAATAAAAATGCCAAGTTGAATGTTGACAATGGAAGAAAAAATGAAAAATGGTCTTCCTTTTCTCCCTACAAGGCTGGGAGAAAAGAAGAAAGGAAGAAGGAAAAGGAGAGAGAATCAAAAGCTAGAAATACAACATCTGTCCTACCTTCATTTTGTTTTTCTGATGGTTGGATTTCATTACTATCTTTATAAACAATCACTAACAATTCAAGTAAGAGCTGCAGTTTTCACTTAAATGACTGCAGATGGCTTGGTAAACAGAGGCCCTCAGTCACAAGGAAGGCTGGTTCCTAATCCCAGTATCCTATAGCAAGTAAATCTTCTATAATTTTCCTGACTTTTTAATAGGATAATCTGGAATTCCTTCAAATATTAATGCAACATGGAAATGTGAATGCTGTAGCCTGCTTTAATAAGATTAATCTGAAGACAGGAGTTTTAAATGAATTTTTTATAACCCCATCTACGAATACCAGAAAAACACCTAAAATGTTTGAGAGGTAGCATCTCCAGCAGAAATAAAGCTATAGTGATTTGTTTTGTGTTCTCTGTGTGTGTGTGTGTGTGTGTGTGTATGTATGTTTTTGCCTGTCATGGGCATTTCTTTTTAAACTGTTAGAAAACATATTAAACACTCATATACACACAAACACATAAACACACTTTCACACAATCTGACATTCAATTTCAGGCTTCCTTTGCCAAGATCTTTTCAATACAACAGAACTCCCACAGAGAGGGTCTGCCATAGAATCATACTTAAATATCCAATTCACATGAAGCACCTACACGGTTATACTGATAGTTCTGCCTATTTGCTTGTTATAATCTGCAAACAGCTGTGTGAAAAATGACTTTCAATCCAATTATCCATTATCTTCCTAATGGAGACGAACTGACGTTTCCTACTGAAAACCATCGTGGACTCGCTGGTTCTTCTCTTGCATCTGAACTGTCTTGGCTACTGTCTTCTCAAAAGGGCTGGCACGGACAACTCACGAGGCACAAGCAATCCTTGATACCCTAAAAATGTCAACTACTGCTGTCACCTCTGTTACTTCATTTTCATACTAATGCCCTGGGAACCAATGACTGAATCTACCAGGAACTCCTGGCTCATTCTCTTGACCCTAAAAGAAAGGTAAAAAGTAGATCTTCTTAGGACCTCTCACAAGCTAAAGAAGGTTCATACCACTTCCACTTTTCTTTAGGTTCCAAAGAAGAAGAACTGCCAGAAAATGTTAGCAACCCTAGTATTTAAGATGCACACTGAACACAGTCATTTCATCATGTTAGGGGTCTTTCATGACCGTACTGGGAAATAGTATCAAGCCATCAATGAATTTCCTCAATGAATGCCAAATCTGAGACCAAGTGTCTCTACCCTGCCATCTTAGATGGTCCGCACCTTCAGCTAAAGAACAGACAAAACCCAAGTCTCCTGGTGCTGAATGAAAATTCAAGTGCCTCTGCTTCTAGAACTACATATTGGCAATGGGTACCATGCATGAAACAAGTAAATAATAGCCTGACTACTGTTGTAACTTCAGAGACCAGGAAAAACCTTTCTAAAGAAGGTGCACTGAAGCTAATATCTGAATATTCAAGATCCAGGCACAAGACCATTAGAAACAGCATTCCAGCCCATGGAGACTGAGATGGGAAGGCACTTGAGAAGGTTAGAGATGCAACAAGAGAGCCAGTGCAGCCAAGGAAGGCATGGCAGGTGGTGGGTAGGTGAGAAGTAAAATCAGAGGCAACAGCTGTAGAGACTGGAGCCACTCACACAGAGCTCTGGAGTTCGGAAAACAAGGTCAGATTTCATTCTAAGTGTGACAGACAGCTCTGGAAAGTTAACCTCAAAAATGCTGTGGTTTGATTTACACTAAAGAAGGAACAGGTAATAGAGATAAGTTAGAAGAGTATTCCAATAATCCAAACAAAAGACAATGGTAATTTAGAACAGGATGGCAGCAGGATAGAGAAGAGATATACTCTAGATTAGAGATAGGTAAGGTGTTGGTTAAGGTGCGGAAATGGAATTGGAGAGATACCCCAGTTTCTGGCCTGGATAACTCGAAGGAGGTCCTGCATTCTTGATTAAAGAAGGCTAAAAAGAGTTTGGGGGAAAGAGTAGACTCAGTATTCATTTCAACAAAAAGCCCTTCCTATGTGCCCTTAAGATTCAAAGCATTGATGCAGAAGATACTCATGACCTACAGGATGTGATTTATGACCTACATTCTTGAACAGAGACAAGGACATGCCCAAGACTGAGCTCCTTATGCTAATGGATGAGTCATGCCACGGCTATAATTTCGCTTCCTCTGAGATAAATATCCTTAGTTATAGAAATCATGGGTTTTAGTCTCTCAGTTACATGCACACACATTTATTTATAAAGTGGCACCACTGCAATTTACACACTTCTTTAGATAAAACTGGGACTTTACAACATTATTTGGAATGCATGAAGATATCATAAAATATCAAGTCACAATAACAACTATATTTTAAGAAAAAGGAACCCTCCAGACTAAATACCCACCCACAGAACTTAACATTGATTTTTTTTACAGATAATTAAAAAAAAAACACGAATGCATGCAATTCAGATTTTTTAGGTTACACATAAACGGAATGCTTTTTAAATGCAGTGGGTGGAAAATGACGAGAAACACTTTGGAAAAACACTATAGTTCTCATTACAAACGTCCCCAGGATAGAACGACTCATGTGGCCCTCCCCCAAAAATAGCCAATTGCATTTGTAAGCACAGAAGGGGGCTGGAGCCAGTCGGAATGGCCTTTTCCACCATACCTCCCATGCTCCCACGCCCGGTAACATCCACAGGCAGGTGTGCACACAGGATGCGCAGCGGCTGGAGCAGCCGGGTTCACACGGCTTCTGAGAGCTAAGGGAACAGATCTGGGTCACAACCTCAAGGATTCTCTCCAACTTTCAGACTGCAGATAGTGATTTTCCTTCTCTGTACATTGCTATGTAACCATAAACTCCATCAGTTATATTTCTCATGTGGTAAGAAACCCTTCATTCATTATTTACTGCCTACTCAAATATTAATTCATATGAACTGACTAAAAATTACGTTACTTTTCTTCCATAACTATGTGGTTCTTCACTTTGAGCTTGCGTAAATATTAGCTTCTGAGCCAATTTATAGAAGCAATTATCTGAGGTATCTCACAAAACATATGGGTGTTCAGATGGCAGAAGGTAGTGTGTTCTTTTGAGCCCCCAAAATTTCAAACAATGACACCAAGAATCATAGGAAGGATTTGTGTATGACTCAAGTCTATTTGTAGGTATACGGTTATGAAAGAATCTGGAAGATACAACCCACTATGGAAAACAAAGGCTGCTAAATTTCCTATGGAAATTTAATCAGGTCTTTTAGAAGTGCATTATTCATTGGCATGTGAGATTCAGTTAAAATGAAAAAAGCCAGGCACAGTGGTATATACCTGTAATACCAACACTTACTAAGAGGGACAGGACGGAAGATCATGAATACAAGGCCATACTGAGCTACATAGCTACACACACACACAAAAAAAAGCTAAACTTTGAGAAAAGTTTCTTTCCTTTTATCTAAAGAATCAAAAAGAGCTCTAGGAGCTATGTCTAATGCCTAGAATCCTAGCTACTCAAGAAAAACAGATCTGAGGATTGACGTTAAAAGCCAGCTTGGGCATACAAATTTTTGAGATTTTTATCTCGTATTAACCAATAAATAAATAAATCAGAGGTTCAACTGAAGTATCAGCCACAAAGCCAAGCAAGAGGATCTGAGTTCAAATGCCAGTATCAGCACAAAACAAATGAAGGAAAGGGCAGAAGAGAAAGAAAAAGTATGGTTAGAATATACATGTGTGTGCATAATTTCATGTATCGTTTATGTTTTGACATTCTCTCCAGAAGAAATGTTGACCAAAGACAGTAAGTAGTTCTGAAATTGTACTAGTAGCCTAAGTATTATTAGCAATAATACCATAAGCAAG